ATGTGAATTCCTTGCTTATGAGCATGTCTTGATATATTCTACTTTGTGATCAGTAGAATGCATTCTGAGTTGTTTGTCTTTCACGTTTGATGTCTTGTCATTGTTGTGAGGATGGTAACTCCCTTTCCTTGAGAGTGTTTGATGAGTCTTTGAAGTTAACTTCCCTCTATGGTTTTGAAATACTATATACTGTATTCCGTTTTGAAATGGTTTTCATTTATACTTATCTATATATGCTATTTAACGCGTATTGATGGGTTACCAGCAATATTCGCTGGCCAGGTGTTATCCCCATGTTATTTCCCTTATTCTACAGGTTTTGAGTAGATGTCTGAGAGCGCTAGACGTGGATCGCTAGATAGATTAGCTGTCCTGTGTAGACGTTATGTTTTGTTGGCCTATTAGCCTAGTTAGCGGCCTGTGTGCCTTGACTCTTTATGTTTTGTTAATCTGATAGATTTCTCACCTGTGCACCTATATCTGAGATAGGTCTGACATAACTCGCCCCGATTTTATATAGCTTCCGTTGCTTTATGTCTTGATGATTAGATGTTTACTTGTGCATTTAAGTTTTAAAAATGTGGTAAAAATCAGGGGTGTTACAGAGGGTATTACTCACACTTTAATTTAGAGGACATACCACTATGATTCATGTTTTTTATCTTCAACGAAGGTTGTACCAATACTTGCACCCAATGGAGAATTGTAACATTTTCCATTAATATTGTACAAATGAGCTAGGTTGTACAAGTTAATTAGGCCAAATTTAGCCATTGCGGCAATAATTAGTTTTCGATACTAATTATAATCAAGAATGAACATAAGGTTTATTCATTAAGTGTTATACCACACAAGGTACTTAGAGAAGAAATTACATTGTAATCATAAGTGGATACTACTCTGATTAAGAGGAACTATCTCTATGGTTTCATGTATTTTGCTTCTTTGAGTTAATACTTGCACCAAGTGGGAGAACGTAACATTTCCATTATGTCACCATTAAGTGGTGCAAGTTAATAGGTCATTTATGGCCATAATGTTGTGGTTTGAAACGGAAGTAACGGTTTCCGTTACTTAACCTATAATGATGGCACGTAGGTTATATATATGTATGGTCCTCCCACTGCTCCTGTGACTTGAGACACTACACCATCTAGTTGTACAGGAGACTAAGTGGTAGACAAAATTCTAAAGTTCTTTACTGTTCTTCAAACAATGCAACAGAGATTATACAACTATGGCTGGAGATGCTCGATCATATGCTTCCGCTATAAGGTTAGATTACCTGTATTGTTTTGTATATGTCTAACAGTATCTACTAGGTGAAGTAGAAAGATGCGGAATAATAAGTGGTAATTTGTGAAAAACCTAAGAAGCTTGAGGTCGACTTTGTGGTCAAGGCTCAAGTGTTCTTTGTACTAAGAGATTTAGTGCAATTCTCCAAAGAGTTTTTAGAGAAGAGTGGAGTAGGCTGGTTCATTGTCGAACCACTATAAAAATATCTTTATCTCTTTTTACTTTACAAGCTTTTATATTCAGTCATAATTCAACCAAACTTAAAATTTGTCAAGGTTAAAATTGTGCTTAACATTTAAAAAGATTCACGTTTTTCATTGCCAAAAATCTTTACGAATAGTTGTTAAAATTTAAGTTCATCTTAAGATTAGAATTTTAAATAGTAAAATTTTTTAAAATTTATACAAATTTTTTCACCCCTCTAAACTTGTGATTCAACTCTTCGGACCGACACATCTAAATAATATGATTATTAATATATTTCAGGTTTATCGTTATTATGTAACATCAGGTTGCATATTATCGTTATTTATAGTGGTTGTTAATTATATATCATTATGAACTTCAGACATTATATGAACATGACGTGGAGCAAAGTAACATTAACATAAACAAATCAAATTGGCCTTCTCTTTATTAACAATATAAGCATTTTGAAGTTCTCTAGAAAAGGGAATTTCTTTGTTAGAGACTGAATTATGAATTTTACTGTACTTACTCTTATTTTATTCCTTATTCTCTAACGTGTTAATTTATTTTTTTATTTTTTGATACATGCATTAGGTTTATTTAAAGACTCTTCATCACCTCTAATCACTTTTTTGAGCTTTGGGTCTTCAATGACCCCCATGTCTGGATCGGAGCAAGACTTCTAGGTAACTCTTGAACCATTGAATTAAGCCTCGTGAGGTCTTTAACGTGCAGTGTTAATTGATTTTCACTATAAGGTTCTGAGTCTGATTACTCGTGAAAATTATCTATTCGTTTCTTGGTTTGGACCATCAACTATAGATACATTTAGTCATGTTGGTCAGTGAGAGCTATATATTGGCCTTCGTGGTTTGAACCATCAACTATAGATACCCTTAGTCATGTTGGTCAGTGAGAGCTATATATTAGCCTTCGTGGTTTGAGTCGGTAGATTGGTTTGAACCATCAACTATAGACACCCTTAGTCATGTCGGTCAGTGAGAGCTATATATTAGCCTTTGTGGTTTGAATCGGTAGATCAAAGAATAACTCAATTATAATCTTTCTTCTTTTCACTATCAGACACGTGACTAATCTCCTCATTGAATTATAGGCACCTCTAATGGGTGGGACGTCTAGCCTGGAGATTTAAGACTGCTTCATACCCAAATCACGCGATCGAACCCTTAACATTTGATTAAGAATGGACGAATCTTTGCCACTCAACCACATCCCCAGGTTAATATACAACCATATATGATATATTTAATTATGTCAAATATTTTTTTAGTGATATATATGATGATGAAATTTCATAATAATTATCCGAGAAATTTGAAATTATCAACTAAATCAAGTATACCATACTATATATATATGACACAATCAATATTGATGTTAGTTACTACAATAGACTTTTCTTCAATTATGCACAATATTTTTAATATTTTATCTATATTCAATTAAGTACCAAAAAAAAAAAAAAAGGTCAAAGTTGTACGGCAAGTACATATCCGTAACCTTTCATTTTATCTTGAAGCAACAAACCAACCTTTCAGGACCACGTACGGCTAGGTTAAGACAGATTGCTGTCGTCAATTAATTTTGTCGGCTTTACAAATACTCTGTATATAATATAAAACTGACCTTCATTGTTTAATTAAATTTTTGCATTATCTGAATATCTGCGTAGTCAAATTCTTGGACATAACCACTTGGTAGATTGCATTAAACTTTTGGGAAGGGTTAAGAAGGAAGTTGAATTATTCCACTTTAATTTTTAGCTTTTTCACGTAAACTCTAGCCATGTGATTAATTAAGTGGTTAATGCACCAGCAAGGTCCTCATACCCATCCAGTGAACATTTATGAATGCAACATGCTAATGGCTAAACGTTGAGAAGTCTAGATAAAGCATGTTTTTAGAGAACAAAATAGAGTAACTAATTTCTTAATGAATATTTATAATTAAAGTTGTCAAATTTTGGAGTCTCCTCCCTCATGTTTGGTGCAGCTATTGTGCGAGGATATAATGTGTGTTGGTGGAAATGTATTTTAGTTTGGTGTTGAGTCTCGAAATTAGATTAATTAATTCAATTTATCTCTTTTATGCGTTTGAGACAAATTCTTGGAGTCCAAGATATACTCAAACTAAGTCAGAAATTTTAATTATCAATTATATATATATATATATATATATATATATATATATATATATGTGTGTGTGTGTGTGTATATATATATATATATATATATATATACACACACACACACACACACATATATATATATATATATATATATATATATATATATATATATATATATATATATATATATGTTAGTGTTTTATTTCTTTAAGAAAAATCCCAACATATAATTGGCATTATTATTATGGCAAATTAAGATAGGGTTTAGCTTGGTGTCTGTCCGTCCTTGAAGAAAACTGATTGATCAGTGAAGTCAACAGACGCACCTCTAGATCAAGCCACCAAAGGTTTGATAAAGGAAAGTTTCTAAAGGCTGGTACGCGATCATGAGATGGTTATTTTGGAAAGAATATCAGCGAATCATCTTGAGAGGTATGGACCGAATCTTAATATTTCTTTCTTCACAAAAAGTCCTACCATCTACAACCAGAGATATATTTGGAGAGTGTCCAAATCAAGAAGTATAAATATTCTTATTCGTTCATATGTTAGGTTGCATTGATTAAAGCTGCAACACTCGATCTATACTAAATAGAACACACATCTCTGGTTGTCATGCCTCTTCTCAAGACAATAAGTTCATGGTGATTACGTAGAAGAACTTGAGAAGTATCAACGTCGCTTAAACGATTGGACGCGAAGATCACTCAGTTGCGGGAACAACGTGGGACCGTGTCATTGAAGCGGACTGCATCAGAGTTAGCTCTCCAATTGAAGGGATTTCATTGGACTTCTGAATGCGTGGCTCTCCGACTTCAACAATCCACTAAACCTTTGTATACTGGGTACTGACCTTGTGTGGGGCACTTGGTTGAGATTGTTTTTCTCTACCTTTGTACATTGGATTATGAGTTAGTGGATTGGATGCATCGGTGAATGTCCCCTAGATGTAGATACACATTGTATCGAACTGGGTAAACAAACATATGTGTTGATTTACTTTCTGCCTTAGTTTTCCGCATTACCCAATATATGCCTATATATCTGAATGACTGCTGGATTGAGAATCTGAGTTCGTCAGTCCCTTATTCAGTTTGCTAGAAACTAAATCAATATCCAGATTAAGAGAATATGCAAAATTACATGTGGTACCAGAGCTTTTAAGTCTACATAATGACTTGAACCATACGGGAAAAGCTTTTTGCATTTTGTCTCTCTTTAAGAAGCTGTTTGCTTTGTTGTCTATTGGGATTTAGACTACTCTCTGCTTGTGAGTTATGGCTGGTCGTCTGTTTGAATCAGGATGGATGCAAATATGAAACCACCAGAATTGGATGGTCACAACTATTTATTCTAAAAGGCTCGAATGGAGATTTACCTTCAAACTCAAGGCACCAGAGTTTATCGTACTGTCCTTACTGGATGGAGCCCTCCGACAGTTCAGAATACTGATGGAACCGCTGAGATCAAACCTATAGAGACATGGACTGAACATGAGATGTTGTCCTCTGATATGAATAATAAAGCACTGAATTCTATTGTAGGATATCTACATGAATCAGTTTTCACTTTGGTTACAGGAATAAAAGAGGCAAAACGTGTATGGGAAATCCTTGAAACCAGATTTGAGGGCACCAGTGATGTCAAGCAGTCAAAGCTCCAGATGGTCCTATCAGAATTCGAAGCTCTCACGATGAGTGAAGAAGAACCTATATCTAACTTCCACAGTCGTGTTCAGAATTTGATGAACAGAGCATCAGTACTTGGGGAACCGTTTATAGATGAAAGAGTTGTCAAGAAGATCCTTCGTTCTCAATCCAAACGATTCCGAATGAAAGTGACTGCAATTCAGGAAAACACATGCTGGGAGAAGAAGAGTGTAGGAGAGCTTATGGGGAATCTGCATACTTATGAACTTCAGGTGTTGGCTGACGATCCTGTAATCAACAGAAAAAGCAAGTCAGTGGCTTTTGTAGCTGAGGCTGATCGAGAATCTGACACAGATGATATAGATGATGAAGCCTTAGCCTTATTGAAAAAAAATTCAAGAAAATACTGGAAGGTTTTAATCGAAGGAGTCAAGGACAGCCTAACAGAACTCAGTACAAAAGTGGAACCTCCGCATATCAGAAATCAGAACTGTCCTCTTTCACAAAGACCAGTCAGTCCCAGACTGGACAAGCAAGGCAATTCAGAACCACACCTACAGACACAGTTAAAACTCTGAATCGATCAGTGCAGTGTCGGGAGTGTGAAGGATTTGGACATATATAATCTGAATGTGCAACTTATCTCAAAAGAAAGAAATCTATGTTTGTGTCTACCCTAAGTGATGATGAAGAGGAAACAATAGATGACCCGTCTGATGAAAATGTTGGAAACTTCGTAGCCTTCTTCACAACAACAGAGGTTCAATCAGAAGGAGATGAAACTGATAGTGAAACTGATGATTTTGAAGAGCGACATGTTCAGCTAGAGATGGAATTTGCCAAACTGGTTGGTAGTTGGGAAGAACTAGTGAAAATCAACAAGAATTTGAATGAAGATCTGAAAAACCGAGATGAGCTACTGAAGAAACTGAACACTGAATTAGTAACGAAAGATGATCTTATTGCTCAGATCAGATCTCGAGAGGGGAAGCTGATAAAGGAACTGGAGGATCTTAAGAAAACTATCAAGATGATGGATACCACTTCAACCTTAGACAAAATTCTGGATTCAGGTCGAAATCCTAACGATAAAAAAGGTCTTGGATTTGAACGTGGACAGTCCTCTATGTCTGCTCCTGTTTTTATCAAAGAAGGTTCATATGGTGGTGGTTCAGTTCTCTGTCATGAACGGGGTCAATCATCAATATCAACTCAATTCTATCAGAAAGGAAGAATGTCTACTTTGATCACTGAGACTGAACCTAGCAGAGTCAAATTTCAGTCTCAACACTCAAAGGTTAAGACTAAGTATGTTAAAGTCAAACAGTATGTATCCGTTTGTCACTATTGTCTGACAAAAGGGCACACCAGACCTGAATGCTACTTTTTCTACAGAGAACAAAGGAAGGAAAAATATCAAAACAAGTCTATCACACCTTTCACAAGGCAAGTTTGGGTGAGAAAATCAGAAGTAATCTGCTATCCCACAATAGTACACACTGCCTCTATGACTGAAGCAAGATGGTACTTCAACAGTGGCTGTTCTAGACATATGACTGGGAATGTCAAGTGGCTTATGTTTGTTCAACCTAGTAGTGGATCAGTGACGTATGGGGACGGACAAAAGGGAAATATAGTTGGTAAAGGTATTCTAAATGTGCCGGGGCTGCCACATATGGACGAAGTCCTCTTGGTCAGTGGCCTGAAAGCAAACCTTATTAGTATTAGTCAGCTGTGTGATCAGAATTGGAATGTGTGTTTCAACCGAGACTGCTGTAGGGTCCGTGATAACGCAGATCAAGTGGTAATGGAAGGAACTCGTTCTTTTGACAATTGCTATGTTTTAACAATTGATACTACCTGTTTTATGTATAAAGCAGACGAATCAAAACTGTGGCATGGACGTTTGGGGCATGTAAATTTTAGAGATATGGACAAAGTGATCAAACTTGATGCTGTTCGAGGGATACCAAAGCTTAAAATAGAACAGGAAGGAGTTTGTGGTGCATGTGCTATTGGAAAACAAATCAGGGCTCCCCACAAAGCAGTAAAAATGATTACTACTGAGAGATTTCTAGAACTGGTTCATATAGACCTTATGGGACCAACTCAAACTGAAAGCATTAGAGGAAAGAAATACATCTTTGTGTGTGTTGATGATTTCTCACAGTTCAGTTGGGTATATTTCCTGAGAGAAAAATCTGAGGCTTTTAATGCTTTCAAAACTCTTGTGCATAAGAATATACAATGAAAATGACGAACCCATTGTAAAAATCCAAAGGCTGAGAAGTGATCATGGAAAGGAGTTTGAGAACACCTTGTACTCAGATTTCTGTTCAGAAAATGGGATAGCTCATGAATTCTCTGCTCCACTAACGGCACAACAGAATGGCGTTGTGGACAGGAAGAATCGAACCTTGCAAGAAATGGCGAGAGTAATGCTACAAGCCTCACATCTGCCTCAACGTTTCTGGGCTGAAGCAGTGCATACTGCCTGTCCTACAGTCAATGGAGTCTATCTTAGACCCGGTACCTCTCAGACATCATACGAGATATGGAAAGGAAAAAAGCCGAACTTGAAATACTTTCATGTGTTTGGAACCAAGTGCTATGTTCTAATTGACCGGGAACAAAGAGGAAAGTTCGAACCCAAGAGTGATGAGGGAGTATTTCATGGATACTGACCAAACATTCGAGCCTATAGGGTCTACAACAAAAGAACTCAAACAGTCATGGAGTCAGTAAATGTGGTTATTGATGACAATCTAGAAGAATCAAATGGAGCAACAATGGCTGACTCAGAGTCAGACTCTCTTATCAATGATCCACCAAAATCGTCTGACACAGCCAAACAGACTGACACACATGAATCATCAGAAGAAGATGAGGGTAATCAAGAAACAGACAAACCGCTTTCTGATCGAGATGGAAAAGTTAAGTCAACCAGAACTCAGAAAATCATCCATCAGACAACATAATTGGTGATCCAACAGATGGAATGCACACCAGAAGCAGGGTGAGAAGTAATCTGATAGAAATAGCTGGTTTTGCCTGTTACACCTCAAAAATAGAACCAAAAAATGTGAAGGAAGCCTTGCAGGATGACTTATGGGTTAAAGCAATGCAAGAGGAACTACATCAGTTTGAAAGAAATCATGTGTGGGACCTTGTTCCTAGACCTGTCAGTGTAAACATAATCGGAACAAAGTGGATCTTCAAAAACAAAACTGATGAAGCAAGTAACATTGCAAGAAACAAAGCTCGGTTAGTTGCCCAAGGGTATACTCAGAAAGAAGGAGTTGACTATGATGAAACATTTGCACCTGTTGCTAGGTTGGAGTCAATCAGAATCTAACTAGCAATAACATGCATACTGGGTTTCACACTGTTTCAGATGGATGTCAAGACATCATTTTTGAATGGATATTTGCATGAAGATATCTATGTGGCACAGCCTAAGGGCTTTGAAGATCCAGTATACCCAAATATCATGTTTACAAACTTAGGAAAGCTCTCTATGGACTCAAACAGGCTCCAAGGGCATGGTATGAACGACTGACGCAGTATCTATTACATCATAGTTATGATCAAGGGAGTCTGGAAAAACATTGTTTATCAAGACCACTGGAAATCATGTTACAATTGCTCAGATCTACGTGGACGATATTGTGTTTGAATCTACTCTACAGAAGTATACTGTTGATTTAGTAGAAGTCATGCAAAAAGAGTGTGAAATGTCCATGGTTGGTCAACTGACTTACTTCCTAGGGCTTCAAGTTAAACAAAGTTCCGAAGGGTACTTTATCTCTCAAGAAAAGTATGCTAAAACCTGGTTAAGCAGTTCGATATGGAATCATGTAAGACACCTAGGACTCCTATTTCAACCTCTACAAAGTTGTCCAAAGATGATGCAGGTTAGCCAGTAGATTCCACAGTCTATCGAAGCCTGATTGGAAGTCTGCTCTATTTAACAGCCAGTCGTCCAGACATAATGTTCAGTTTTGGCATGTGTAACACCCCGAAATTTTTCAACTTTTAAGACTTATATAATAAAGGTAAATTCTCATTAAATCCCAAAACATAATATAATAGAGTACGGGGTGCTATGCCACACCTGAACTAGAGAACTCAGGTGCACAGGCTAACTAACTAATATCCTCAATAATGTAAATACATGCGCATGGCACGCAGGCCGAAAAGGGAAACTATCTACTCTACGCTCCAAATCTCTAGCGCGCTCCAGTGTCTACTCCTCTGTGCCTGAAAGCCAAATATATCTGTTCAGCGAGAGATGCTGGTAACCCACTTCAACGCGTTGAAATATAGTATAGGTAGATATATATATATATATATATATATATATATATATATATATATATATATATATACAAAAATAATTTCGAAGCAGGAAGATATAAACTTAAGAAACACTAGTTTTAAAACCACGAATAGACTCAGCAAATAGGGATAAGCACATCAGACAACAATAAGCAGTTAAGTAGAAATAACATCATAAGAAATACGCATTTACGGTCACAAGCCACTTCTCAATTCCAAACCACATAATCAACCAATCATCATCCATATCACATAATCATTGATGGCGCCACGGGACCAATCGCATGCCCCGAACATGAGGATTAATGCTTATAGCATTAACACGGCCCCGCAGCACCCTACCTCGGTACCGCGGTACGAGGGGAGTTGATCACAACCAACCCTTTGAGAACCGCTGACGAACTCAACGTCGGACCAAGATTCGACACACCGCTGACGCGCCCAGTCGGTGGACCGCGATCCCCTTTACAAGGGGGGACTTATGACCCTACACACCGTTGATGCGCACAATCGGTGGACCGTAGCGGATCAAGCCCGACACACGGCTGAGCTAAACTCAGTCGGTGGGCAAAGATCCTCGGAGACTACGATCCTACGTACCGATGTCCCAACACTCGGTGGATCGCAGCCAGCCGTAGTCCTACACACCGCCTGATTACTCAGGTCGGTGGACTACAGCCTTCCTCGGCTTGTTGGCCCTACACACCGCCTGGCGTGTCCAGGTCGGTGGTTCATATCACCGAGGCCCATGTGGACCTTCAGTCCTATGCATAATCTTTATATACCTGACTGGTCTCTACCAGCCTGGTTAACAGTTGGGATGGTTCTCAGCCCATTCAACTGCCCGTATAGTGGACCTCAGTCCAATATCATATTAATATCCCTGACCGATCTTAACCGGCCTGGTTAACAGTTGGGATGGTTCTCAACCCATTCAACTACCCGTACAGCCCAATTGATCTTAACCAAGTTGGGGTCATGCATCACGTAACACATAATAGCACATAATAACACATAACTCACATAGGGAAGGGGGAGACATATAATTAAACTTACATGTAATCATTAACTTACTAAGAATAATTCCTAAGGGTTCATATAACTTCCACCTAGGTCCACGGGTTACCAATTCAACTAGCATTCAATTCCTAAGACTCGTTTAACTAACGAATGGTACCCGAAATTCCACACTAGACTCAGGCACGACAAACAGAGTCCGTCGGGACACCATGGGGAACGGGGAACATCAAATGGGGAAGCCGGGGACCCGGGTGGGGTATGGACCAGCGGGTAGCCGGTGGGTGGGGGATACCCGCCGGCTGCCCGCCGGTGGGCACTGTTCCGGGCAGCGGGTAGCCGGCTGCCCGGTGGCTGCCCGCTGCCGGGCAGTGCCCTTTGGGCAGCGGGTAGGTGGTGGGTTCTCCCACCCCCACCTACCCCCCACTGACTCATTCATCAACAAATTCGTACCGGGATCCTTTGTGGAACCCGAAACCATGCTTAGACACTTTTAAACGCAATTGATGACACCACATAGACAATTAACGGATCAAAAGCAAGAATCATATAACACATATCCTATCATGACTTCTAAACATAATCAACATCCACCATGCGAAATCCCACCCAATTATATCACGAATAACACAATACGAAATTCCCAATTTTAACCTAGGGCTCTAATCATATTCAAATCAATAAAATCATAGTTCATCTTTTAATTACCAAGACGTCAAGATTCATCAAGAATATCACATAATCATCAAGAATCTCTTATCATCATCAAGATCATCAAGATCACACATAAAATCATCTCACAATTATCAAGAACATATCATCAATATCATAAACGATTCATCAAGACACAAGTATAGAGAGGAGGCCAAAGAAGATAATTATAACAAGGAAAATAGGTTTTGTTGAGACATGGGTTACCTCTTACCCTTAATTAATTTCCTTGGCTATGAAGGGTCTTTCTTTAAGACTTCTCCTTTCTTGATTTCTCCTAAGGGAGTTCTTGGAACTTTCTTGTGTGTTGAGGGATTATTTGTGGTGTGAATTCTAGGTGCCTCCTATGCCCCTATTTATATAATTGGCTACTTCTATTTCCTATGGGACTAAGGGTTGGATTTAGGGATAAGGGTCCATGGGCTTATGGTGGGCCTTTCCTAGTTAATGAGATTTTAATCTTTCTTTCTAGGTAATTAATTAATTGGTTTATGGGCCGTAACGCGGGGTGTTTCACTCTCCCCCCCTTAACGGGAAGCTTCGTCCCCGAAGCTTTGGTCCTTGCTGGGTAACTTCTTCCCTTATCATATGCGTTCGTCTTGGTTACCTGGTGTGAAGAGTTCTGGGTAGCGTTCTTTCATTGTGTCTTTGAGTTCCCATGTTGCTTCTTCGGTCCCATGGTTGGTCCAGAGGACTTTTACCATTTCTATGGCTCGTCGGCGGGTGGTTCTTGTCTTGGTGTCCAGAATTCTTACGGGTTTCTCTTCGTAAGCTAGTGCATCGTCAAGGTCCACGGTCTCGGGTTGTAGTACGTGGCTCGGGTCGTGTACATATTTCTTTAGTTGGGATATGTGGAATACGTTGTGTACCCGTTCCAGTTCAATGGGTAAGGCGAGGCGGTAGGCCAGGTTCCCGACTCTTTCTATGATTTCATAGGGGCCGATAAACGAGGGGCTGAGTTTTCCTTTTCTTCCGAACCTCATCACCCCTCATGTGGGCGAGATTCTTAACCACACTTTGTCCCCGGGGGTGAACTCGGCTTGTTTCCTTCCTTGGTCGGCGTAGGATTTTTGGCGGTCTTGGGCGGCCTTCATTCTTTCTTGTATGTGCTTGACTTTAGCTATGGTATCTTGTAAGTATTGGGGCCCTAGTGTTACTGGGCCGACCATGGCTTCCCAACATAAGGGGGTTCTACATTTTTTACCGTATAGAGCTTCGTAGTGGGCCATGCGGATACTTGCGTGGTAGCTGTTGTTGTAAGAGAATTCGATGAGGTCTAGATGTTCCTCCCATGTCCCGTGGAAGTCCAGCATGCAGGCTCTTAGCATGTCTTCGAGAGTCTGAATGGTCCTCTCGGTTTGGCCGTCAGTGGTGGGGTGGAAGGTAGTGCTCAGGTTCAGTTGTGTCCCCAAGGCTGTTTGTAGAGATTTCCAGAATTGTGAGAGGAACCTGGGATCCCTATCGGACACAATGGTTCGGGGGATCCCGTGGTATTTTACTACTCGGTTCAGGTAGGCCCGGGCTAGTTGCGTCATTGTCCATGTTTCTTTCATAGCAATGAACCGTGCTGTTTTGGTTAGCCGGTCCACTATTACCCAGATCTTATCCTTGCCGGTTG